CTGACCCGGAGACCCGGGAGAGCTCGCCGCCCCTCCGCCGCATCCCGCCCGCCTTCCGCCACCCCTCAGTCCTCTGGTCCCTGCCCCTGCGCGGCGCTGGGAGAGCGCACGCCGACGGAGCAGTGATCCCCGATCTCTAAGAGATTAATTCTGTTTAAGCTCCCTCGGCAGCTTGAACTTGTCGAACAAGAGCTTGCCAGCCTCTCCTCAGGGCGTGGGCCCGACCAGAGGTCAGGGGTCACACCTCCCACCCTCTGCGCGGCGTTCGGGGGAGGGGAGCTGCGGCCGGTACTTGGCGATTCTTCTCCCCCTCCTCCGAGCTGCCGCCGCCCCCCACCTCCACTCTTCCTCCAGACTCGGTGTCCGCCGGGGCTTTCGGACAGAGTTAGCGGACGTGCAAGACAGCGCTTGCGTCCCGGAGCCCTCGGAGGGCGCGGCAGGTCCTCGGGCCCGAGTCCCCAGCGCGGGCTGTGCGCTCCGTGGGCTGCCGCAGCACGTGACAGCAACTTTCCGCAGAGCCTGGGTTGGGCCTGAGGTCTGTGGCCGCACATACCCAACACTCCAGAGCCCGCGTGCTCCCGAGGGCCGCGCAGCAACGGGCGAGGGGGCTGAGAGCACCCACCCAGGAGGCTGCAAGGGGAAAGACTTTCTCAAGTTACCCTCCCTCCTCTCCGGGTTTTTCCGAAGCGGGACATTGGAGAATCGTGAGACCAAGCCCTGAGCTTGAGGGGCTTTTTTTTTTTTTTTTTTAAGTGACAGGACAGGAAATCATTTTTTGACAGCCTAGTTGGGCAGACGGGTGTGCTAGGAACCTGGGCACTACATAGCACAAACTTCACCCAGACAGTCAAGGGCTTTCCAGAAGAGGTTCGGAAAGACGAGTGAAGATGCCAGGCTCCGGGGTGGATCCGTGGGTTCTGGATCCTGCCAGAATCCACTTGCTGCTTCCACCACCACCACCACCACCACCAAGATGCAGACGCGGGAGAGAGCGCTTGGTTAAGGACAAAGAACTTCAAGAGGCGAATTAATTTATTTCTGGCAAAGATGAGGGCACTGATGAGGAGACTAGGACTGGGTCTGTCTCCAGCGGGAAAGTTCTGGGGGTTGTGTCCAGGAGAGCTAAGAGCTACTTGCAAGTATGAGGTAGGGGGGTCTTGGAGGCTGGATGCTGGCACTCCTAAGCTCCAAACTACTTACTCCCTCGCACTCCCGCCATGCTGACTCGCTCTTTTGCAGGCACCAAAACTTCTGGAAGATATTTTTGACATTTATCAAACAGTCTCAAAATCAAAATGGGAATGTTCCCTCTTTCTCCTGTCACCAGCCCCTAATCAAGCAGGGTGTCAAGAAAAAGTCCAGTGAATACACACACACACACACACACACACACACCATCCAGCCCTGGCAAAAGGCACAACCACCGCACACGCACACACGCACACACTCCGCAGCACACTCGTCCTGTGTTCTGTGCGCCCAGCTGTAATTATCTGCGCGTTTTGCATAAATCACAATGCCGTTCTAAAATCATCGTGATGACTTTCTGGCATGATTGATTTGGCAGCAACAAGCTCCTGGGTAGGCAGGAGGGGTTGGGGCCCAGCCTCCCACTAGGTCCCAGAGAAGCCTGGTGCTTAAGTGTCTCCTGTCCCTGCTTAGGAAGAGGGCTAAAAACTTGGGACGCTCATGGGCACAGGACAGAGAAGAAAGCCTCTGCAAGAAATGGTTTTTCATTTTCCTATCTCCTGGCGCAAGCATGGTGCTTGATTTGTAGCAGGTGCTGCATAATGATGGGCGAATGGCAAAAAGTCACCTGCAGATTTCTTTAGAGGCCGCTGTAGGCACAAGGAGGCCAACCCTGGGGGAGCCTGGAGGTTGGGATTGAGGCCCTGCCCTACTAGCTGTGAAACCTTGGGCGAGTGACTAGACCTCTCTGGGCTCTGGACTGTTGTTTATAAAAGGACTGGTCTTGTCCAGCCTTCACTTTCAAAGACTCCCCACAAGTCCACTATGGAAAATAATTGATAAGGAGCAAATGCCAGTGCTGTGGTTTGAAAGTATCTCTCCTATCCCAAAATCTTCATGTTGGAATTCAGTTGTATTGTGAAGGTATTAAGAGGAGACTTAATCTGATTAAGTTGTTGAAAGATGGGGCCTTTGGGAAGTGATTAGACATTAGGGTGAATTCCCCATGATTGGTTTCCTGGCAAGTCATAAGGAGCAGGAGCGGGAATGAGACAGACATTCTGCACTCCAATTCACACAAGCTCCTATCCACTCCCATGTTGTAATGCAGCCGGTAAGTCCTCACTAGATGTAGCCCCTGGGCAGGCTTTGGATCTCCAAGCCCTGAGGAAGATAAACCTCTCATAAATTACCCAGACTCAGGTATTTTCTCTTTTTAGCAACAAACTGGACTAGAACAACAATCCATCTCAGGAATACGTTTTAGCAGAGACAAGACCTTAAATTACAAGGATACGTTTGGAGTTTTGAAGGAGAGGAGAACTCTAAACCCCAGAGGTTCTGATATTCTTCTGACCAGGTCCAAACATAGCCCCTAACTTCTTTAGTATGTTGTGACCATGGAGCACTCAACCAAAACCAAAGATTAAAATACAGAGGTAGGGGCAGCACATGGTATGGTGGTTAAGGCATTGGATTCTCACTTGGCTGATGGCAGTTCAAGCCTCAGATCAGGTGGCTTGATAAATCACACAGGATGGTGGGGGCCCCCAGGTGGCATGGTGGTTAAGGCGCTGGACACTCCCATATGGCCTACCTCAGTTCGAGTCCTGGACCTGGCGGCTTGCTTTTGCGCTTTCTGTCCCTCTCTGGTCAAGTTAAAATAAATAAATAAATTTGAATAAAATAATTCTTTAAAAAGAAATAAATAAGTAAAATTTTAGAAAAGAAAGAAAATGACACAGTATGGTGCCCAAAATCCTGAGAGGTGAATGGTGAAAGGATTACACCATGGTCATCCCCCACCCCCGGGGGAAGGGGGATGATTGTCGCTTTTCCTCTCTCTGTCTCTCTCTGGTGAGCACAAGTACCCTATGGCAAAAACCTAATATATATATATATATATATATATGTGTGTGTGTGTGTGTGTGTATACATGTATATACAGAGAAGAAACTAAAGGATTTAAAAATGTTTGTGGAAAAATGGAATTAACATATGATTTTATTTTGATGCAAAACAAACAGAAGTCCATGCGCAAGCTGAGTCCAGGACTCAAACCTCAGTCGGCCATGTAGGAGTCCAGTGCCTTAATCACCATGCCACCTGCCGGCCCATCATGAACATTTTGAAACACCCCCCCCTTATATCTTTTATCAAAGGATGTTTATATTTTGGTTCAGAAAATAAGAAGACCACGAGAAGAGCCATGGGATCAAGAGGTCTCTCTGCTCATCCTCAACCCAGCCCACTCATCAAGTACTGAGCAGCCACTGCGTGCCAGACCCTGTGCCTTTCTCAAGGCATCTCCAGGGGAAGCAGACACATTAAAAAGTGATAAATGGGGGCCAGTAGGTGGCATAGTGGTTGGGGTGTTGGATTCCCACGTGGCCAATAGACGTGGCCAACAGACATAAGAGTCCTGGGCCTGGCAGTTTGAAAATCACGCAGGGTGTGGATGGCTGCATGTCTGTATAGAATAGTCAGGGGCATAGAGCACCCCTCTAAGCTTTAGGCTGTCTAGGTTTGACCTCTAGCTCTGCCATTTGCTATCTTCTCCAAAAAATGGTGTCATTTTCTTCATTAGCTGCTCCTGCCCACATTGTCCTAAATTAAAACACAGAAGGGGGACCAGCAGTTGGCATAATGACCATGTTGCTGGACTCTCATGTAATTGACTGCAGTTCAAGTCCCGGACATGGTGGCTTAAACTCACACTGGGCACATGTACATGCCTAAGATCCTGAGAGGAGAATGGAGGAGAAGGGATTGTGGCATGGCCATCGCCCCTGGGGGGTGATTTCTCACTTTCTATATCTCTGTCTCTGTCTTTCTGGTAAACGCACATGCCCTATAGCAAAAACCTCTCAAAAAAAAAAAAATGCAGGAAATAGGAAAAGCTTTCCCATCAGCAAGCAGAGCTGATGAAATTGGTATAGAAACTCTTCTTCAACTAGTGTCAACCCCTTCCAGAAGCCATTCTACCTCTAGAAATTTATTTCTTTAAAATGCCCTTTGTCCCCTTGACAAGCAGAGTTAAGAAACACTCAGATTCAGGAAATGGCTGGGAAA